CTCAGGTGAGAAAACTAGAAGTCTACTCTTTATATAACAAAACAGATTTCACCTCTTCACACTTTTAGGAGTTTGAATTTTTAGAAGATACAACAACTATCCTGAGACTCAATAAAATTACGAGAGTTGGCAGCACTGTGTTTAGGACAGGAAGTAATGAATGGTAATACTTTCATTCAAAACTCCAGGGAGAATTTAGGTAGAACACAATTACTGAAGTATTAATTCATACAGGGCTGTGCTTAAATATGTTCCCTCTGCAAAAAAGAAAAAAAGGTCTCTTATGATAGGAAGAAGAGAAGTTGTCAGGTGTGTGATACCTCACAGTAACATACCCTGCACGCCAGTGTCTCCTGAAGCTGTGCTGAGGCTACAGGTCCAAACTGGCTTCAGTAATACTTTCTACTCTAGCGTTGCTTTCTGCAGTGTTTGGCATTCACCTGTGAAAATACTGACTCAGACCAAGGTAGCGTAGGAGATAATAGGATCACAGCACAAACACTATAGCTTTTATACTAGTGAGGTGTAATACAGTAATACAAAGTATTTAATAAACTGCCAGTAGTAGCTGGTCCAAATACAGTCCCTCATCAACACTCTGTTTAGTAAGATTAAGCCAAATTAACTATAATATAGTGTTATGCCTACAGTGTTATGTCTGTGTTTTCCATAACAACTAAACATGTTCAGAAGGTGAAAAATGATGCTGGTGAAGCACTTGGACGCATATTTCAGAACACTTTGTCTGGGGAGCAGACAAATTTCAGGCAGGGCTGTTACTGTGCTTTAGATGTTGGCAGAAGAAGATAATTACCAGTGATGATCTAAGAGTGCTCTCTCTCTCTCTCTCTCTATATGTATATATATACACACTTGTACCACATAGGTGGTCATGGAAACCACCACAAAAACTGCTATATTTTCAAAATCATGATATAAATTTCAAACTATTAAATAAAGTGGCTTTATACTTCACTGCTAGGGTGCACTAAGCTCTTCTCATACCATTCACAGCATAGTTACTATAGTAACTAATGTATTTCAAAAAGGAGAAAAGTGAAAGAAGCTAAAAAAAGCTAAAAAAATGATAAAAACCAAACAAAGGAAGAGTCTTAAAAAAACCACACACACAGTGGGAGGAAGGCACAGTTTTATGGCCATTTGTTTGGAACTACCAGCACCATCTCACTGATGATGTTGTCAGTTGGACATAAATTGTCTGTTTAGCCAAACAGTTCTAGGGCGCATAGCACTGCAGTATCCAGGCAAACCTAAACTTCAGGAAACAAAGATTTTATTCCCTTCTGTCTAATGGATCAACACACAGACTGCACAAAGCTTTTCCTCCATCCTCTAATTATTATTACAAAAGTTGAACATCCTTGAAAATTCCTACAGTTTGCATCTTACGGAATGCTCATCTTTGGGAGGGGAGATTAGTTTCTGAAATCCATGACCAGTTTAAAATTTCACATTTTCAAGTTTTATGTGTAATGCAACCGACTTTGGCTTTAGGAGAGAAGCGTGGGAGTGATAGATCAACACACAGAAAGTAATACAAACTGTTATATAATATTATACACCAAAGAGAAGAAAATGAATCAACAAAAAAATAAGGCGCTCTAAAGTCAGGGATTAAAAAAAATTGTATATATGATCTTACCTGTGTGTATGAGTATATTCATAGATGCAGAGCCTGAATTTCTGCAACCTGGCATATCCAAATCTTCATGTAAAATTATTATATCAGCACCATATTCACTCCCTTTACCATTCTACAGCTACACTAGCTGTAGGATAGTAAAACTACATATAAAAATAGAAATTAAAGAGCTTCAACTAATTCAACATTCAGCTGCTTAAGAAGGTCCCTGATAAAGCCTACAGCTCTCTCTGCTTCAGCAGCTCTCTCTCCTCAAACTTCTTTGATATTGTCTTCTTTACAGGAAGGCAACTGTTCACTATTTTTGGTAAAAATATTATTCTATTCTCTGGTGTCTTCATGAAGCTGTCAGGAAAAGCCACTGTCCCCATCAAACTCCGGATAGTTATTTAGAGGATGCTTTCTGCAAATGACATGTCCCAATCACTTTTTAGAGAACGTGCAAAGGATTAAAAACGGTTTCTGCTAAGTCTCCAGGGACTGGATAGGTTTAGCCATTCAAAGGTCCTGATGACTGGTCAAAAACCACGTCAACCACAATAAGCTAACATATTTGGCTCAAAAGCAGACAAGAGTACATGGAAAATTGCCATCACAATCAGTTAAATATTGAAAATGTAGTGAACTATTTGGAAATTTTCTAAGACCTTTTGGAAATATCTTGCAAACCTGAAAAAATAATTGAAGTTCAAAAATGTAGTTTTTGCCACTAGTTATTTTGGTTGGCTGCAATAAGTGAGGCACCAATAAAGCTCAGCCTCAGTGAACTTCAGGTATCAAAAACAGGCACCTCACTTACCACTGAACTAATGGCTACATAAATAAACCTTAAACAACTGGAGAAGGAAGAAATACCCAGAAACTTAACTTGTATCTCCTTGTTCCCTGCCGCTGTGCTTTATCCAGAATCTGTGGTGCATTTCAGAATTTTAGAGGGAGAGAAGGAAAAAAACTGAGCTTCCTAATCAGCCAAACTAAATCATATAAAAGGCACCGAACAAAAAGTTCTAAGCTTTTCCCAGTGAACCTGAACTGACAAGTTCACCTGTATTTCTCATTCCTTTTGATTTTCCCTTTCCCTCAACACACAGAAAAGATACCACATACTCTTCAGACAGTCTAATATTTTTTTAATCAAAAGGAAATTAAAGAAGAGGCAATGATGTACATTCCTTCTGGGGAAAGTAGAAGCCTCATTCCTATCCTGTCTTAAAATAGCCTGATTGAACTACAATATTTGCATTACAATTCTGGGTCAGCTGCACCATGGGATTATGTGTGCAGATCAGAGGGGTGTTTAGTTTTTATTTTCAGCCTTGTAGATTTTTCACATTATATCCATTCTGCTAGACATTCCTCCCGATAATACATATCGACGCAGTTTGGAAGAATTGGAGAGATTTACTTCCCTGGATATTTGAAGTAAGAAACAAGGCCTACGGCAGTTTTATTCACTGGAAGTGGAAACCTTTGCTGCAGTGTATCAGGTGTCAAAGCAGACAAAAGAGCCTTTGATTCTTTTCAAACATTGATTCAGATTCTGATAATCTGTACTTCTGTATTAAATCAGTATTCTTTAGTACACTACTCTGGATTTTAGCTGGAGTATACAAAAAGAGGACCAAGCCATACTGATGAGGTGTCACCAGGTAAAGAGTCTTCCCTGTCATCTATATCTGAACGAGTATCTTCTACAGCTCAGCATAAGTATCCAATTAATTTCATTTTCTTCACATGTTGTATGTCAGATTCTTGAACGTATTTTTAATCACAGTAATTTGCACACTTCTTCACTGGATAATTCTTGATCAGCTGACAGGCCTTTGTGGGCTATTCATATACACAATTCAGGCTGGGCTATTTAGCTGCATAGATCATGTGTTTCACTTTTTTTTTTCTGGCTGCAGCGACTCTAAGTGGTGCACAGATCTTACAAAGGCCCGTCTACACGGAAGTATATCTCACACTCATCTCCCTACCAATTTGTATGTAAGAAGGAGAGTACTTATTCATCTCAAAGGGGAATTTTAAGTTTTAATGAAAGCTATTTAAAAATATTTGCTGCAAGGGACCGCAGGAATACAAAATACTATCTGCTATGTACTCAAATAGAGAACAAATCCATAAAATTACAAAAATTAAAGATGGAAAAGACTATCCAGCCCAAATCCTGGTCAGTGCAGCAATTAGCATATTCTAAGAACGTTATTCAGTCTCAGTCAGTGACTGTACTTCTATCATATTTCTTAGAAATTTACTCCTCTGTACGCTGACTCACAGGCAAGAACAAATTTCATCATCTCATTTTACCTCACTAAATTATACTCCTTTGTATCATCTTTAATGGTTTTTCCCTAGAGTTTTTCCTTAGGGTTTTATGCTGCGTGTTCTGGGTTTTATTTTGCAACCTCACAGCGTCTGTGACCTTCTGAAACATTTCTGTCTTATATTTCTCTTCCAAACTGTACTTAAAAAACTCTTTTGGTTTGTCTTCATGAAGTAAACCTCCAGATATTTCATCTTTTGTGTTGATTTTGATATGTGTTTCCTCTACTTCATAAAAGTCTTTCTTACACTGGAACTGGTACACAGGCTGCAATGCATACATTTTATAGGGAGGAAGCACTGGGCAAGATCAGACGAGTGTAAATGAAAAAGAATACCAGCTTTTCCAGAAGAAGTCAGTATTCCTGACTCTGTTCCACTGAAAAAGATCTTTTCATTTCAGTGGATAGTTTGTCTTTAACATATGGCTATAACTTCAAAGCGAACCTTCTGGGGTACCCATCTTCCTGTTTTGAGAGATGGAAACAGTAGGATTTATTTTGATAGCGATTTTTTTCCCATTTATTAGCATAAGGGAAGGCCTAGAAATGCCCAAGCAGTTGATGAACTGTAATTACTTACAGGATTAATAATACATGTCTACATCCCATTATTTTGTTATTCCTTCATTATCTTTACTGATATACAAATATGTAGGAACATCACTCATTGGCTTCTATAGTGTGGTGTGTGCCATGCAAACACAGAGCAAAAAAAGCACGGCTGCCACAGTTTCATGTCTTTAGAAAACATTTGATTTTTCTATAGCACGAAATTTTGAGTAAGAAGCTATCATGACATCAACATGACATACACTAAGCTGATGAAAAGCTAGCTGATAGCCCTTTAAATCTATCATTTTGGAAAAAAGCACCAATTATTCATTATTTACTATATGTTTATATGTTACAGAGAACAATATGGCCTTAGTACAATTAGCTTTTATATGCCATTGAAATCTAAATGTTAAAAATCAGCCAAACTTTGCTAATTTTACTTAGCTGACACTTACCTCTTCCACCTAAACTTCAGAGCCCTCTCTCCCTCTCACTCTGCGTGACAAGAGCCTTTGTTTTGGTGTCTTCCGGATGTGTAATATACATTCTACAAGAAAAAAAAAGGTATTATTTAATTTTTTAATGCTGTCTATGTATGTGCACAGAACAGCTCTATTTTCTACTTCCCCTTCCCCTTTCCCTTCCCCTCTGTCTCTCTCTTTCACACACACAGCTGCTGTGCTGAGACCTGAGATGGAAAAGCCACAGTTACCTCCTCAGCGGATAACAGTAACAGCATTTCATGTATATTAATGAAGATTCATTAAACATCTTTCACTGTGACTGAGCAAAACAGTGCTTGAAACCCATAAGTTATTGAGAGAGAGAGAGAGAGTAATATTGCAGAAATAAACACAATAACAGTCTGAACAAGGCAAGGGCGACACATAGATTTTTCACTTCCCTCACGCTAGCATCTGCAATGGAGAGGACACACCAAAAGTCTCACCAGGTTCTATATGCTGGCTATGAATAAGCCATTGCTGAGTACTTTTTACGGTTTCATTTTATTTAATGTTATTGTTACTAATATCCATTTAGAAGCATGGAATTAAAATATTTTTTTGTTCCACTATCGTATTTTTCTGTTTGGCAGACTGATTATTTAGTCTTCATTTCTAATGGGATTTGAAAGGAACATGATGTGCAATTTGTTTGTGAACTAGCCTTTTACTCGGTGTCTCAGTTCAGCATTGCCCAAGATGCTTCGGGAGTTAACTTTCACTCCCTCTGCTGGCTCTCAGGCTTCAGAGCAAACATACTATTTTCTTTAGGTCCTACAAAAATGAAACGCATTTACTATTATTGTTATATAAAAATAATGGTAGCATTTAAAAGAAATTCTTGACACATTGAAACACTTCTAGGTAGGCTGCATTTATGCATTCTGCAAGTTCTCTGAACATCTACCTGGGCCTTCCAAATCATGCTTCAGAGGTTCTGTATCTTTCAACTGGCCAGATAGACAGCCACGGTCTAGCAGCTTGAGAGAGTGAACAGTTTAAACTATTCATTGCCAGTCTCAAATTTGATGTCACAGCAGGCATCTTATACCATCAAACTTTTACCAGGAAAATAATACATTTGACAGGATAATAGCCAAGACTTTGAAGATCCTTTGGACTAAATCACCAAAGGTTATAATTTTAAAGAGAGAAATGTGAAAGGCAGATGATGACCAAGCCAACAGAATGTAGAAGACCAATTAATCCCAGGAGTAGCAATGAGAGGTCAAATTGAAAGATGCGCTTATGCAGGCCTACAAAAAAAAAATGTTGCCAACAACAAATAAGATTCCTGGTGATAACAGAACCCTCTTAGTCCCTCATTCATGGCTCTTTTCCCATAATAACTGTACAATTAGTGCATATAAAAGGAAGGATACTCTCAACAATTTTGTAGCATTATGCAATAACTTCAGTCTCGCTATCTGCATCTAAAATACAAAGGTCTTTTTCAACCTTACAGCTAGCCCTTCTGCTCTTCCATCATCACAGTTGACGCAGCTGAGAAGTTTATCCATCTTAGCAGTAGTCTCCTTGCCTCAGCAACGACTGCTGACAAGTACCTGCCTACTTTCAAAGCAAGCTGAAGATTAGGTTTTCTGCAAAATCATGTTTGGAGTGATCAAAGGTTCCTTTATTCACGCAGATGAGTCTGTTTTAGAATAGTCTGTTTCTATTTCTGCTGTCCTTCATGACCCTCTGTAGCACTGCCATTTCCAACAGCAAGACCAATTCCTCTGGAGGTTCCTGCACAGGGGTCTGGGAATCCGCTGACATGACTGTGCAAGGACTGACCTTTCATCTCACAGCAGCTCACCTTGCATTGAAACCTTCCTGATATGCACTTTGAAGACTCTGAAGGCCATCCTCAGAGTTTGTCAGGTCAGTATCAGTAATTCCAAAAAAAAGACAACTTTAGATCAAGACATCTGAACCCAAGTCTGTTAACAACGTTCTCTCAGTTTCTGCGGCAAAATGTAGAGATAACCTGATGGTTAAAAGAAGGAAGAGAAAGCTCAAAGAGAAGCAATTAACACCTTCTAGTCACTTAAAATTCACAGCTGTTCCTCCTAGGTGGTCCCTTTCCAAATGACAGTATGCAGAGATGGTGAAAGTAAAAGTTGTTACCTCGCATTGAAAAAATGGTCACCAGCAGCTACAACAATCAACAACAACAGTAAAACTTCAGGTAGCTATAAACCTGAGTGCCATAACGAGATGTCTAGAGACAGATTATGATAACGAAAGATAGACCTAACACATTCAGTTCAGAGCAAAGCAAAATCCAGGCCTGACACACACACAATTTTGAGGATGACATGAAGCATTACTGAAAGATAATGAAAAATAAATTATTTTAAGGAATCTGCTAAGATTAAAATTGTTTTTTCAGCTCCTTAACAGCTACTGCCAGAAGCCACCTTTCCTCAGTATTTCTGATGCTCTTCTAGGAAAGTCTAGAAAATGTTTTGGGCTTGAAGAAAGCAAGCATAATTTGACGGCAGGTCTGCTAATGATTCTGAAAGACATCAGTTTTTAGTGAGCTTCTCAGAAGTATTTGAGATAGTTTTGAAAATGATCTTACTGTTGATCCCTGGGTTGCCTGGCTTTTATAAGAAAGGCATGTATTCAGTTAAGAGTATGGTTTAGGAATGTTATTAATATTCCTAATATTAATGTCATCTGGCAGGCTAGTGTCCGCTGACTGCAATGGCTGCCCCTACAAGGTGACCTTCTGTTCTTCTAGCTGTTAAGTGGAAGTAACACAACCTCTGCAAAAGTGCACAACACAGCTGAGAAAGTCATTAGGGAGGTAGAACTGCTGCTACCAGAGCTGAGGAGCTTTTCCCGTAAAATACTAAGCTCCCTTGTGGTAAAAAACTATTAAACCGCCCCCCAGACAAACAAACTGTCATGTGGGACTCTATCAGTATGTAAATAGGTAGAAAGAGATAATCATTTCTATGGGCCAAACTGGTCCACAGGTCACATGTTGTTCAGCTCCCAGGGTCTGCGACACTGTCAGCCTTGCCTAAGGAAATAAACAGTACCAACCTAAAAGGAAGTACAATTAAGTGCACTGTTATTTTATGTATTAAGTTCACTCAACAAGCGCCATGTAGAACGCAAGTGAACTAGCTGGCATATTCTGGCAAGCTAACACATTTGCGGGGATGGGGGTCCACTGAAGAGTATTGCCAGACTCCCATGTATTGGCACAAAGGCTGAGAACGTCTTGCTCAGCACCTACCTTGGCTTCATAGGATCTGTCCGGAAGAACGCAACAAAATGTGAACAAGCCAATTTTGTAATCTGAGCAATTTAGAAATAGCCCTTTCTAGATTTCAGCCTTCTTAATCTCCCTGCATTGGGCTTTAGATTCCAGCTTGGAGTGAGAGCAATTAAATAGACAGATATGCAAGAATAAGCAAGAACGATGCACAAGAATAAACTTTCCATGCCTTCTCCCACTCTCCCTACAGTAGATGGGCAAAGTTGGTGCAGAACAAATTATGTACCACCACCACAAGTCCAGGACTTTGCCCAAAGGTATAACCTACCTAAAATCATGGAATCCTAGCCTGGAAGAGCCTCAATGGTCACCTAGTTCACTTCCCTGCTCTGTTCAAATTCTTCCAATATCCTCTAACTTTCCTAAGAAATCTGCTTCAGTGCTTCATTACCCTTACCTTTAGAAAGGGTTTCCTAAAATCTTGTCTGGAGCTTCCTTGCCCAACTGAAGATTGATGTTCTATCCACCATGAATTGCAGAAAAAAGGAGTCCCTTCCTCTTTACATCAACCTCGTACCTATCTGAAGATTAATATCAGGTCCTCTCTAGAAGCTGGATAAATGAAGATTTATTTTTTTCTTTGTTTCAGAAAAAGGACCACACCATTTGCAAACCCTCTCTCGTTTTTTTAAAAGCAAGTTATTGAATTTAAATATCCACTAATAATCTGAACACTAAGATGTCTTCTGATTGTCTCACCCTGGAACAAACTCCAGCAGTCTGAGACCATGAAGATCTTCTCTACAAATCTTACCAGTCTGATCGAATCCCATGCAGTTTGCAGGAGGCTGTATTGGGAAACAGGAAGGAATTGACACATCTCAGGCTTGAGTAACAAATTCACTACTACACCTCGCTGACACAGTAATTTGATTTCAGTGGAGCTGAAGCTGTTCAAGGGGCTGCAACTTTGATCTCCTGCTGTTTGAGCTGTTCCCTTAGTTGCCTGCCAAAGCGTTAAGGTAGTTGGAAACTTTGTGGAGTCTGGGATACAAGGCTTCACGTTCTCCAGAGTTTTGCAGTTTGCTGTAAATAAACTGAACATGTATGAATTGACAAACCCTTCCTCTTCTCTTTGATGGAACAGGTTATTTGACACGGTTCTTGTGAAGACCCAGAAGGCCAGGCACAGGTCTGTGTTCCTGTGCAGTGTAAAGTCCCCAGATAAGATAAAATGTGGAGAGTTGAGAAAAAAACTTATCTGTTTCAAGACCTATTCATTCAACCGTTCCAATCCCTGCATGTTGCACCTAGCCCAAATAACTCTAATAAGAGATATTTCAGTTAATAATTCTGCTTTTTCAATACTGCATTCTGGCTGAAATCAAACTTAGAGATGCTGAATGTATGATTTTTTTCTGATGTAGGGAAGAAACATAACTGCAACACTCACTAATATTGTAAGCTCCATAAATCAGAAATGAGAAGAAGGGATGCAGTGATTAAGGGCAGGTACGGCCCATAATTTCAGCTGAAAAGGCACAAATGCGTGCGGAGCAAATTACAGAGACGTTAAGAAAAGTGAGAACGGTGCAACGCATATCCATGTTTTCAGACTAGCCACTCTGTCCTGCAGAGTATTTCAATGGTTTGAATCAAGCTTCCTGATCTGAATTCCTCTAAAGTGTGGAATTATTTGAAATAGATGCCTACGTTTTTTATACTGGCACAAGAATAGTAAAGAGTTAATGGTTAAAAGTTTGAGAGTTTAACTAAGTAATGGTGAGGACATTGGTATTC